CCGGCTCCTCCTACTCCCTCCTCCTCCCCTCCTCCTCCCCCCTCTTCTAGCCTCCTCCACCCCCGGCTTCTGCTCCTCCTCCTCCATCTCCACTCCTCCTCCCCCTCCTCCACGCAGTCCCCCGTCTTCCTAGATCCTTTCGATCCTGCTCCCCCTCCCCTAGTCCCTGATCCCTTGCCACACGCTCTTCCATCCTTCTTCCTCTCCTCCCCTCTCTCATCCCGCATCGCCCCTACGATCTCCATATTCCGCACTGCTCCCTGATTGCTACTTATTCCTTCTCCCTTGCCCATCCTCATTTTTCCATGCTCACCCTCCCCTCTCCCACCTCCATCCTCCTTCCTCCACTACTCTAAATCGTCCACATTGCCATGATGACGATCATCCCCAGCACAACCACCACAAACCACCATCACCACTTGGCATCATCATAACAATGATCAGTACTATCGGCAACAATGACAGCAGCAATAACGACAACCACAACAGTAACATCACCACCATCATCATCATCATCATCATCATCATCAGCATCATCATCATCATCATCATCATCATCATCACCATCATCATCATCATCATCATCATCATCATCATCATCATCAGCATCATCATCATCATCATCATCATCATCATCATCGTCGTCGTCATTATCATCATAATCATCATCAGCATCATCATTATCAAAACAAAATAATCATCATCATCATCATCATCATCATCATCATCATCATCAGCATCATCAGAATCATCAGCATCATCATCATCAGCAGCATCAGCAGCAGCAGCATCAGCATCATCATCAGCATAAGCATCGGCATCAGCATCATCATCATCATCATCATCATCATCATCATCACCATTAGCAGTATCATCAGCAGCAGCATCAGCATCATCATCAGCAGCAGAAGCATCATCATCATCATCAGAATCATCAACATCATCAGCATCAGCAGCAGAAGCATCAGCATCATCATCATAATCATCAGCATCATCAGCAGCACCAGCAGCAGCATCATCAGCATAATCATCAGCAACATCAACATCATAATCAGCAACATCATCATAATCTGCATCAGCATCATCAGCAGCATCATCATCATCAGTATCATCATCATCAGCATCATCATCGTCATCGTCATCATCACCAGCATCATCATCATTAGCATCATCATCGTCATCAGTATCATCATAATCATCATCAGCATCAGCATCATCATCATCATCATCATCATCAGCATCAGCAGCATCATCATCAGCATCATCAGCAGCACCAGCAGCAGCAGCATCAGCATCATCATCAGCATAAGCATCGGCATCATCATCATCATCATCAGCATCATCAGCATCATCATCATCATCATCATCATCATCAGCATCATTAGCAGTATCATCATCAGCAGCAGCATCAGCATCATTAGCAGTATCATCATCAGCAGCAGCATCAGCATCATCATCAGCAGCAGAAGCATCATCATCATCAGAATCATCAGCATCATAATCATCATCAGCAGCATCAGCATCATCATCATCAGCATCATCATCAGCAGGAGCATCAGCAGCATCATCAGCATAATCATCAACAACATCAACATCATAATCAGCAGCATCATCATGATCTGCATCAGCATTATCAGCAGCATCATCAGATTCCTCATCATCATCATACTTATCATCACTAGCATCAGCAGCCTTACCCTCAGTAGCATCATCAGCATCAGCAGCATCACCAGCAGCATCACCATCACCACCATCATCAGCAGCATCATCAGCAGCAGCATGATCATCACCACCACTACCACCAGCACCACCACCATCATCGTCAGCACAAGCATCATCAGCATCATCATCATCAGCATCATCGTCGGCACCATCTTCACCAGCATCGTCCATCATCATCATCAGCATCATCGTCGTCGTCGTCCCTTGCCCCACGCTCTTCCATCATTCGTCTTCGTCCCCCCGTCCCTCGTCCCGCGCCGCCCGTACGATCGCCAGATTCCTCACCCGTCCGTCCGCACTGCTCCCTGATTGCTACCTGCTCCCCCCTCCCTTGCCCATTCTCCTTGTCCCATGCTTATCCTCCCCTCTCCCGCCTCCATCTTCCTTGCTCCGCTACCCTATATCGTCAACAGTGCCATGCTGGCGATCATCACCAGCACAACCATCACGAACCACCATCGCCGCTTGGCAGCATCCTCATCATCACAACCACCACCATCCTCATCAGCATCACCCATCGTCATCATCATCAGCATCATCATCGTCGTCGTCGCCGTCGTCGTCTTCGCCGCCATCATCATCAGCGTCATCATCAACATACTAATCATCAGCAGCATCGTCATCATCATCATCAGCAGCAGCATCATCAGCATCATGATCGCCATAAGTATCACCAGCAGTATCTCTATTACCACCACCATCACCACCATCACCATCATCATCATCAGCAGCATCATCGTCATCATCATCATCGTCATCGCCATCGTCATCGTCATCA